AATTCGAATATTATGTTTCTTCACACATTTTTCAATCCTAAATTCTTTTGCATAAATAAGTAATATACCGAGACTTTTTGCGCCAATATTCTTCTACAGATGAGTTGCAAACAATTACATCGCATCTGTCCTCGTAACATTTCCAAAAACTTTTAGGTAAATAGAGATATCCTGGAAGTTTTGATTGATAATCTTCTCCCCAATGTTGCTTCATAGCAAACTCTGTATCTTCCTTATAATCTTCATTGCATATATCACCAATGATAACTACACCTCCAGGTTTAGTTATGCGTAACATTTCATCAACAGTAAGTAGCGCATTTTGTTTTGATATGTACTGGAAAACGCTATGCGAAATAGTGACATCATATTGTCCAGATTCTATAACAGACAATGCATATGGGATCGTACCCACAAAAAAGTTATTATTGTTTGTATTTACTGCTACATGACGTCGTAAATGTTGTATGGCCCTATCGGACCCATCAACTCCTGAAATAGTGACATTTTTAAAGTGTTTTTGGATGGGGTCAAGTATCGCTCCGCAGCCACATCCAGCTTCAAATATGTAATGACCTTCATTGATATATTTCTGTACGATATCTAAGACATATTTTTCCCATATTTCTGAGTCTTCAATATCGAACCAACCAGTCAATTGATGTAAAGTTGTATATTTGCTGTCAAAAAGTTCGTTAAATATAGAAACCCAAGCATAGTTATCATGTTTACCTGTTACTGCATCTAATGTTTTAAGATTTGACATTTTTTAAATTACTATTTTCTGACTTTCTGGTTATATATAGGTACTGTATGAACAATAAAACAAATTATTTATTATAGAAGTACTATGAAAAAATTCAAGAAGAATTTAAAAGAAAGTAAACAATTGAATATTCAATGAATTGAATATTCAATTTGGCGAAAAAATTACTATCATTTATTATTTTAATAAGGATGTTAAGTAGTTAAAACTATTACTTAACAAAAACTCTAAAAAATACTAATAGGGGTACAAATATTGTGGCAGAAAGAAATTTAACTGATTTTTAAATTTTTTTGGGGCTTTTTTTTGTTAGGTTTTTTTTTTTTATAGTTAAGATTTTTAGAATTATTAGGAAAAGAATATAGGTGGATTTTGGTAGAGCATATATGTTTAAATTGAGACCCCTAAATTTCACAATAATCTCTGATTTCATTATGATTTGCAAATTATTAAATGGTGGCATATGCTTTCATTTTTTTAGATCTAACTGTAGCACTAATTGTTCTAATTCTTTACCATTAAATTGAAAGATTTCTTGAATCTTTTGTTTATTCTATATCCGGAATAATATTTAATGTTGCTTGAAATCCTCCTATTTTAATATTGCCTAACTTTACTGAAATGAACGCTCTGCATGGTCACAAGTATATAGAAAAATAGTAAAAATTCTCTCTATTAATATATATATTATCTTTGTTTGATAACCCTTAAAATCTCGTAAGATGCTATCTGAAATCTTCCTGACATATTTAAATTTTCATAATGTGAATTTATAACCATACAAAAATTTAAACCATTCTGAATACACAAATTAGTGCTTCCAAATGTCAGACCGTATTCAGTTCTACAACTTATGGCCATTTCTTCAGATCCTGGTTTAATATTTACTTTCTTATAGTTATGATGATTTTTTTGAAATAGAAAACTATCACTAGTTTTTTTCCAAACATTTTCACCTTCCCAATCTAATGGATTATAACTACCTATTAAATCACCATCAAGTAATTTAATAATTACTATTGTGGGCCCTTTTCCATCACAGTTTTTATAAAAGGTTTCTGAATTTAAACCATCACGCTTCATATTAAATAAAAGTTCAAACTTGTACCAACAATTATAATATTCTATTCTGCTTATCCATGTGATTAATTTTTTACCTGTGTCTAAATCTATAATTTCAGATCTGAGGCAAAAATTACCATCTCGAATATCATAGTTATTGTCTTTGAATTTTTCGTAATATTTTTGCACCTCAGAAAGTATATCATTATTTATATTTCTT